CCAAAACCAGTTAACCATTAACGTATTTTATACATTATCACGAGAGAGACTTTTTTTTAGTCCATTTAGCTAATATGTGGCTGTCCTTTTGTGTATGTATTTAAAGGAATTGAAATGTATATATATGTGGCCCAAACTGATAGGTTATGGTTTGAATCTCATTTGATTTCTTTGGGGTCTAGGGATGTGAGTTTGTGATTTCACTTTTGGTTTGTTTTTGGGTTTTTTTGACTCTTCAACTTAGGAATGTTTCCTGTCATTCTTCTGCTTCCTTGGCTTGACTTCTTTGCTCAAATCAGAGCATCCTCAGAACTTGTGATTTATCAGTGAATTCTTCATCACTGATGCCAGCATTTCCAATTATCTCCCTGTGACATCTTTATACATTTCCATCTGTACCTAAGAACTGTATCCTGGAATTCCCATAGTCTCCTGCCCTGTACTTATGACATGTTTTATACAAAGTATGCCTTGTGAGGTTATATTTTAAAAGTCTTGATCTGTTGACCACTAATATTCTGTTGGATTGTATATGTGATCACTGCATGTGAGGTTATGAAGAATTGCTATAAATGTTCCTCAGATATGATACGGGAACTTCAAAAACCAGTGTTTCAGGTTCAGAAATGGAGTAGCCAGACATGCAGATGTCCCATTAAAAGGAATCCACTTTCCCAGAAGTCATCCCAAAAGACTTCTCAGAGAGAGCACACTGAGAATGGAGACCGCTTGACCAACAGAGGTGGATCCCTGTGTCACAGCAAAAGATCTTAGCAGCAAACTAGAAAAAAACTGTAAAAAAAGAAGAAGTGACATCATCATTTGGCCTCTCTTCCCCCCACAACTCAACACTTGGAAACTAATCTGAAGGACAAAGGTTTTGAAGTGGGAGAAAGTGGTCCTGGACTGAAAGGCTGCTCCAGCTTGTATACTGAGGGTCTGTGAAGTATTTGTACCATTTGTCAGGGTGACACACTGCTTGATTCAAATCCTGTTTAGTTTGTAGAACTCAGACTGTGAATTTATATTATTTCTTGAATAATCAACTTTGACTTTATGTGTGTGACTTATAATCTATACTTCTATAGTTAATACATCTAGAGCAGTGTGTTTTGGTCGAAGTGCTTGGGAAATTTCAGCTCAGGTTGCAAAGACTAGTGTGCGTCCTCTCAAGGTAGGGACGGATTGGGTAATGAAATTACACTGGTCAAACTCCTGAACAGGGAATGAAGGCACAGTTTCAGTCTACATCTAGACTGCAGGCTTCTTTCAGAAGCAACTTTTCGGGAAGAGATCTTCCAAAAAAACTTCTTATGAAAGAGCGCGTCCACATTGCAAAAGTGCATCAAAAAAAGCCATCTGCTTTTTCGAAAGACAGCACTCACACTGAATGGATGCTATCTCTCATTTAAACTGTGATTACAGTGGACGGAGTGGCCACCAGGGCACCTCTGCTTTTTCCGTTTGATTCTTCTCCCGAAAGAACTCTCTCGTCTCCATCCATACATGCCTTTTTCTGAAGGAGCTCTTTCAGAAAAAGGCTTCTTCCTTGTAGAAAGAGGATTACCAATGCTGGAAAAACCCCTGTTTTTTCAATTTTCTTTTGAAAGAACGCAATTACAGTGTGGACATAATTGAAGTTTTTTTGGAAAAATGGCCATTTTTCCAAAAAAACTCTGTAGTGTAGACACACCTTTAGAGTGCAAGGCTGAGTAGCTAGAGGGAACTGGATGGAGCTTCCCTTTTGATGGTTCCTGAGTGTCTGAGAGATCATTCATGTAATCTGGTAAGTGTGGCCCTGTCTTGGGATGTCTGTGTAAGCACAGAGATTGTGGCTTAGCAAAAGCATCACAGTTTGAGAGGCAAACCAGGTTGATGTCCAAGGGGAGCTTAGTGGACCCACAGTCCAGATTGCAGCTGGAGATTCCATCACATTCCCTTTCCCTAGTTCACTCCACTTTATCTCCCTACTGCAACATTAGCTTTTCTTCTATTCCATCCATTCTCCCTGCCTTACAAAACAAAGAAGAAAGCAATGTACAATAAAATCCATATGGGTATTTGACTTTCCTGTGGATTTTGCTCACATGAAAGTGAAATTTGTTATCAGAGACAAATTGAGCTCCCACTTGCACCAGTGTAAACCTGATGAAACTACAGTGTTGTAAACAAAAGTAGAATTTGGCTCATAACGTCTCTGCTTCTAATATTCTTTACCTCTCTGTCTTGCAAAGCATATCTGCATGCCCTATAATGGGAGTATATACTACAGAAAGGGAAAGATGACATACCAATCTATTGAAATTAGCAGTTAAAAGATATAACAACTTTGGGAAATGGTATCTGAAGGAAAAGACTCAGCACCTAAAAAAATAAATTCACTCTGGGAGATTCTGCTGTCAGTTACATTAGTGTTAATAAAGAATCACTACAATGAACTTCACACAGTTAATCCATATTTACACCAGAGTAACTGAGAGCTGAATTTAGCCCAGTAAATTTATGTAATGCTAACCTATATCCTCTTCTTACTTCTGCTCGTTGCTATCAAATGTTATTAATGTGTGCTCTGATATCCACTGAAAATGCCACAATCACAATACTTGCTGGAAGCTAGCTGACTTCAGTCATTTTGTAGGTAATATAGTTTCAAACAGCAAATCTCTTCATAATCTGAACTCAATGGTATTTGGTCTCTGCTCAGGTGGATTCAGACTCTTTTTCTTTTTTTCAACCTCCCTCTCCCCACTCTCGTACACTAAATTCAGATGATGACAGGGAGCAATTTAATTTTGGTTATCTATTTTTGGTACTTCTTTCATCATAACACACAATGTTTCTAAGAATAACTTTAGGAAGCCTAAACCCCAGATCCTGCAGGCAATTACACATGTTATGTAATTGAGTAGCCGCACTAAAGTCAATGGGTCTCCTTAATAGTTTAAAGGAAATACATACATCTGTGTTCGTGAGATCAGGCCATTGGGGATGAAACAATGTAATAACCAGAAAAAAAGAAGCATCTTCGCAGTCATATATGCACACAAGTGTCCATACAACTCCACTGAAGAATTACACAAGGCATCCGCTTTGTATTGAGATAGTAACAGTGCTATTCTAATCACATGAACAGATAATTTCACGGAACATATTTTGCTCAAATATGAACAAGATGCCAAATCTCATTTTCACAGAAGTATCAGGCACAGGAAAAACACTAAAAAAACCAAAAGCCCAAACACACTAATATAACAAACTTCAAATCAAACAGCAGATGAACTGAAACAAGGTAAGTGGTCTCGTGGGGTAAGAGAGTAAGTCAATCTTGTGTTTTTTCCATTTGCTTCTGTTCTTCTTGCAGAATTTCTAGCTGCTTAGTTTTCACAGTTTGAATCATAGAACACTAGAACTGGAAGTGACCTTGAGAGATCATCAAGCTCAGGCCTCTGACCTCATGGCTGGACCAGGCACCATCTAGATCATTCCTGACAGATGCCTGCAATGATGGCAATTCCACTATCTTCCCTAGGCAATTTATTCCAGTGATTAACCACCCTCACAGTTAGGAAGTTGTTCCTAATGTCCAACCTAAGCCATCCTTGCTGTAATTTGAGCCCATTGCTTCTTGCCCTATCATCAGACGTTAAGTCGAATAATTTTTCTCGCTTCTCCTTGTAACACTTTTAGGTACTTGAAAGTTGCTCCTGTCCCTCTCAGTTTTCTCTTTTTCAAACTAAATTAACCCAATTCTTCCAGTCTTTAGTCATAGGCTATGCATTCAAGACCTTTAATAATTTGTGTTGCTCTTCTCTGGATCTTCCCTGAAAGGCTGCTATTTCCAAAATGTTCAAAATATATGAGTTACAAAGTAAGTTTATCTTACTAGATCTACAATACCCACAGACGTGATATACATAAAATCCATGGAAATTTGTATACAGATTTATTAAGTTGCACCAACATATATTCTTTTACTTAGCTATGTATGGTAGTCAAAACAAAGCCAAGTTTCAGCCTAGGCAGACTATTAAAAATACCTGGAACTTTAAAAGGATTCCAGCAAATCTGATTCAAAGGATCTCTCATATTCACTGGCTGTAGGGCTGCCAACTTTCTGATCACATAAACTGAACACTCCTGCCCTGCCCCCACAATCTCTTCCCAAGGCCCTGCCCTGCCCTGCTAGTTCCCTGAGGGACTGAGCTGGGGGTGCAGGTTCTGGGTGGGGCCAGAAATGAGGGATTCAGGAGGGGACTCCAGGCTGGGGCAGGGGTATGTGTGGGAGGGGTCTCTGGCTAGGGGTGGGGATGAGGAATATGGGGAATGAGAGGAGACTCCAGTCTAGGGCAGAGGCTTGGACTGTGGGAGAATGTGAGGGGTCCCAGTAGCATTTAGCACGGCTCCCAGGAAGTGGTCACTAGATTCCTATGACCTCTAGGCACATGGGTGGCCAAGGAGACATCATATGCTGCCCTTGCACCTGCAGACACTACTCCTCCCCCACCCCCAGCATCCATTGTTGCAGTTCCCAGCACTTGGGATGCACCAGTGCCTAGGGGCTGCGCTTCTGGGAACAATGTGGACTTAGGGCAGGTAGGGAGCCTGCCTCAACCCCAAGTCCCCACTGCAACATCAACTAGACTTTTAATGGCCTGGTTGGCAGTGCCAACTGGAGCCATCATGGTCCCTTTTTAGCCAGGCATCCTGGTCAAAAACTGGACATCTGGCAGCCCTAATGGTTGATATCACAAATAACTGCTAAACTTGAAACAGGAACTAACCTGAAAATGGAATATAGAGGAAATCTCTGCAAATACATCAGATGTTTGGCTTGTATTTATAATAGAGTTTATTATTATTTATATTACAATAGCACCTAGTGGCCTCAGTGGAAATCAGGGGCCACTGTGCTAGGTGCTGTACACAGGTAGTAAGAGATAGCTACCTGGCTGCAAAATAGCTAATACTCAGATTATTTAAAAATCATTTAAGGCACATACCTTACTGAAATCAGTGGGAAGTAGGCACCCAAATAGATTTGAGAATCTGTGTCTAAAAACCTAAATAGACAAGACAAAACATGATTATTCCCACACTACATACACTATATTCTGGTTCTTCAAGTTATCATAAATTAGTTATGACAGGACCGTACGCAGGAATTTCTCTGGGGAGGTGCTTTTTTTGTAAATGTTGACCGCAATTTTTTAAAATATAAAGGCGTTCATGACCCAGCCCTACCCCTGGCCTTGCTCCTGGGGAAGAATGAGGAGGGAAATCAGCCCCACTTTCCCCCAGCTGGCCAGAGCATGGGGGAGGGAGGCTCAGGCAGCACATTGCCCCAGCCTAGCCAGAATTGGCCCCAGCCTCATGGTTACTTAGAGGATGTGTTTGCACCTCCTCTGTCCCTCCCGTGTACAGGCCTGTATGAGATACACAAGTAAGACTCAGTTTTTCAAGTCAGGTGCATTCATATCTTTACATGTGCCTAATCTATATTTACAAATTGCCGATGCACTATAATTGCAATAAATCCCAGCTGGGCAGAGATGCCACAAATACATTACTTGTGTGTACTTTGGAGATGCTAACAATGTATATGGATGCGTGGGATTCTCCAAAGCTAATTTTGAATATGCAACCCTGAAACTCTTAAAGGAAACCAGAGTACAAGCAAGTTAACCCTCCTTGTGGTTCCTTTTGTTAATGTTTTCTTAGAAATTCAAGCTTCACGACACACTCACAAACATTACAAAAAACCCTTTAATGTGACTGTACAGTAATTTTCAGTTATTTGTAGTGTTAACACCTCTGATTAAAGAGTAAAAAAGACTCTGAAGAACATATCTATCTGTTGTTTTATGGTTTCATAATCATAAAAGTCTGTTTAATCTCAACACAACTAGAGTGCCCTGCTTGTAATTATAGAGACATCTCTCTAGAATTCAAACACCACTAGAGAAAAAACAGTTATACAATATATACTGGTTAATATATTATTTTGGCTCACTTGGAGTTTTGTAGAGCCCAAGAATTCCTCAAGGCTACTGACAACATATTTATTCTTGATACCAAATTATCTAGAGCAGGAAAAGTAAGTGTTTTTCAAGCTCTCTCATATCCAAGGGGGAAAAATGGTGAGCACATTTTTTTGTGAATACCATCATTTGCATTACAATAGAGAACACAATTTGCTTGAGTGGATGAAACAGCCTTCTATAATACACTCTGGTATTATACGTATGTCTCCTATCTCCACCAAGATTCTAACCTATATTTAGCTAGGATTTCCCAAGTTCTGTCAAAGTGAAAGGTGATGAGTCCACAGGGAAGCATGCAGGTGGAGAATGAGGAACCAGTGCTCTTGAGGAGCTCTTGTGGTTTTTAATCAATGAGATCTGTCCCATAATGGCTGATGAAAAATCACTATTCATCGCTAGTGATTTGCAGATGGTGGAAACTCATTCAAGATATTTTTTTTTTCATTTTCCCCTCCTCCAACACATCAAGTGTGTGTGATTTAAACAGCTGGTGAAACTTTTCTCCTATTCATTACAAATAAGCATGCTCTGCTGCTCAGGAGATTTTTTGTTTCCTTGCAAAGAATTATCTTACAAAAACATTAGACTTCACAGACTGGACGGGGGGAGGGGAGGATGGAAGGATGACATCACACAGGCAACATTAAAAGCAAAGTTTAAATAAGGAAGCACATAATTATGAATCACAAATGGCACCCTTTTAATTAGTCTTATTATAGTTTACAAGGTATTCTGGAGCTGCAGCAGAAACTAATAAGGGTCACAGACATCACAAATTAAAAAAGTTCAGTTTAAAACTTGCTCAGATTTCACAGAGATTCTCATTCAGATAATTGGCTCACCTATTCCTAATCTGCTCCCTATATTTTTCTTTTAATAATATGATATGGCCTTTTTACAAGGTGGTATCTAAAATTGTAAACACCGTGCTACTTGTTAAATAAATATTTCATGTAATACTGCATTTATTCTTCCACAGACATGTGCTTTTAATAAATTAAGTGCAGCTTATTTGGTGCAGAAGATACTCTGTCTGATACACACACAAACCACTTGAAACACGAAAAAGAAATCAAGCAATAAACGAAGCTCCGCCAAGATTAGTTAATAATACACTGAGCCATTGGGTGCAATGTCAAGATGTAAAATAAATAAACATAAATTAAGTGTAGTCTTTAAGTCTAGCCACATCATGCCACAATAAATTATAACAGATTAATACACAACAAAACTGGAGTATGTGCTGCTCTATCATTCTATAAACTGTAATACACAAAATATGCATTGCATGGAGAGAGACATTATGCTTTTAATAAAGATTTCACATTTGAGATGTTTCAGCAAAAAAATCCCAATTGCACTGTTTTATTTGGTGGTTCCCATTGCATGCTGGCATATAAAGGCTGAGTGAATTAAGAATAGCAGCATTTTTAAGGCAATACCTTTTCTTTACCCTTCATGTATTTTAAGTGTTTGTCATACGTGCTGATTTGGCAGCCCAGGAGATTTAAGGACCCCATTTAACCATTGCACAGGTAGAACAGGGGTAGTGGTAGTGTAAGGTTTCTTCCCCAATGAGCCTTGATGTGATTGGGAGAGTCCACCCCATGGCTGTGGGAGAGAGTAATAGCCTCCATGGTCCATTAAGTCTGTGAACATGTGATGTGTGGGATCTGTTCTATAACCATGCTAGAGATTATTGAGGCTACATAGAGAGCTGGTTGAAAATTTTCTATGTTGATGGAAAACTGGTTAGCTAATCAACCTAGTTTTTTGTGTAGAAAGTACTTGCTTTCTGTGAAAAATGTGAAGTTTTCATTGACAAATTCCAAATCCGACCATTTTCCCAGTTGAAAATGTTTGGTTTTCAAATTTTTATTCTCTATTTCATTAACATTTTCAACAGGACAGGGACATCCTTAGGACTGATGGGGCCCTACACAGTACTATTAAACTGGTCCCTTCCTACGCCCAGTGGCAGTCTGGAGGAGGATGATTTTAGATATGTGATTTTACAGTCTTCAGCAACAAACTAATGAAATAATTTAAAGGGGCTTTTTAGCTCAGGCCTGTAGAATAACATAGTCCATTTAGAAACTGACAGTATATACCTGAGGTTGGCAAATGCCTGGCTCTTTCATAGATTCGATGTTCTGCTAATAGCTCTGGCAGAGTTTGTCACTTGGAGGTAGCAGAGCCACAGAGCAGTGATAAGAACAGAAGGATGGGTGGACATTAAGACTCTGTAGCACCCCTAATTTTCAGGTGCCCTCTGCATAGGATAAAGATGACCCTGTCACAGGGGAAAGAATTCAGACAAATTCTAGAGAACCCATCCTCCAGAGGGCTCAGGAGGAGGAGGAGTGTTTTCTCCCTCTTGCTGCTTTATGGGCTGGGGAGGAAATGACACTTACATAGCACCCTCCCCCTGTCATAGTGACTCTGGGAAAAATAGCACCCAGCACTCTAGAAGGATTCCAGGGTAAGAGGCCACAAAGTGGAGCAGCAGGTAATAGTCCAGATGGGAACAAAAATTCTTCTGTAAGACAAAGGTAAGTAGGGGTGTCCCTGAATAGGGTGGGAGAAAGGAAAAGGATCCCTGTTAAAATTTTTGCCCCTATAAATGTGCAAATTCAACTGAAAAATAGTCTATTTGGAATGTGCAAGCATGATGATTGCAAAGCTGGACAGACAGCAGAACCCAAACTCATATAGGTGAAAAATAGGAAAATACAGGATTTTCTAATTAACAGTTATTTTATTTCAGGGCTATTGTCTGAACTCTGGGAACTCAGTGAGAATTGGGCAAAATTTGACTAAACGGAGTTATTTTTTTGTCTACTTTGAATAACACCTATGGAATGTTTGCCCCCATTTATCAGCCTCCATATAATGCAGATCATTTAAAGTTACAATACAGATGTGCAGCTGGGGAAAGAATTCTTTCAGATGTTGTGAACTGGCTCAGAAAATTCTTATTCTACATCACAATAGTGAATCTTAGAGGGTTTGCTTCAGATAAACATCCATAACATTAAACTTTTGGAAAAACATTGAATCAAGCTCTCAGAATCTTTTGGATCTGCAAAACTGACCTGAAAACATCATTGCAAAATACATGGTACTTCAACTTCCATTCACAGCTGAAGAATCAGACAACTGCCTGTTGAGTGGGGTTTTCTGGCACTTTTCTCTTCTGCTAAATCCTTATGGAAATTATCCCAGAACTTTAGAAACTTGGGGAAATGTTTTTAAATGTGCCTCTAAAAATAGGGCAGAGATTGCAGGGAAATAGGAGAAAAAGAAGGTTCTTAAAGATTCCTGAAGTAGAGATATTGTTCTAGGCACGAAGAGACTATGGAGGTAGGTACTGTATAAGAACCATCTTTGAAGTTGAGTGGATAGAGCTCTGAGCATGCAGATTTGGATTCCATTATAACTATGCCATTGACATGATGCATGTCGTTAGGTCACTTAACTCCCATGGGTTTCATATCCCCATTCCATAACATAAAATACCTCACTGTGGGGGAAGGGCAGGCCTAGAGATGATTCACCGGATTGGTTTAAAAGTGGGAAGAGAAAGGCTTATTTATCTAAATTTCTAGGAACCCCCTTACTCCTAGGAGGAAGTGGGGACACCACAATCCAGTACCTTCAACCGTCAGGAGGTGTGTATCTGAAAGACCACCTGGGGTTGATTATAAAGCCACCTGGATCCTTAGAAGACTTCTCAGCTCCTAACCAGCCAACATTGACTCCTGTATTCTAAACATGGCAGGGCAGGCTGGTCATGCCCCTAAAGAGCCAAAACAGCCTAGAACCTGAGGCAATGAGTGACTTAGCTAAGGTCACTCAGGAAGTCTATGGCCAAACCAGGATATTAATACTGGTTTTCAGAGTCTCAGTCAAATGCCTTAGTCAAAAGACAATTTTTCCTGAGTCTTACAGAGTGGGGAAGACATTCTACACAGACTTATGAATGTTGGCCTTTCCTGCAAGAATATGGCTTAAGTGAT